GAGGTGCAATTAAGAGCAACCTGCCATCTTGCACGCTTGCGTTTTTTGGTCCAGTCTGGAGTCGCACAAACCGCTAAACCATTGAAGCATATCGTGGCACGTTTGAAACGAATTATATCATCTCGTGAGTACCGACCGCGCATGATTGTGAGTGAAAAGGTTAAAAATCCCAGTGTGACGGAGAGCGAGTAAGTGTAGCGCAGCCAATCGAAGGGCGCGCGTGACAGATCGATTTCTGTAATCACCAATCCCTGTTTAAACCACAATATCATTTAGGTGCATCAGTGCTTCCCGGGATTCACTTATAATTTCCACGATACCTGAAGATGCGAAACAAACCATCCGACAAACAATCGTCCCAGCTCTGAGGCGAAAAGGAAAACCAAACGTGCTATCAAACCGCGAGGACAAAGCACTGAAGATGAACAAAAGTGTCGTCATTCTTTCAGGAGATAAAGGACGAATTACTGTGGTCATGGACAAAACCGACTACATTCAAAAGGCCAAAGAACTACTCCAAGACACAAACACCTACCGCAGGATCGATATGGACCCCACCGCAAAACTGGAAAACACCACATGAAAACGACTGGAGGAGCTACATCAAATAACCAAAGAGAATGAGAGCAAAACCTCGGCTATCCCATAATTCTGTGAACTGCCGAAGGTACACAAGGAAAGAATTCCCTTGAGACCGATCGTCTCTTATCCAGGAACAGCTACATACAAATTAGCAAAGGAGTTATGGAAACGACTGAAGCCGCTCATCGCTGGACACGAGTATATCGTCATGAACTCAAGACAATTCTTGGACAACTTCAAAACTGTCAACATTCAAGAAGACGAAATAATGGTCTCGTTCGACGTCACCGCCTTGTTCACTTTTATCGACTTGGACCTGGCAAGATCCAAGTTGTGGGAATCGATAACTGAACACCCTAAAAACCAACCAATAGAACCAGCTGCAATTTGCGAACTTCTGGAATTATGCATGCTTCAAATTCGAGAGTGAAATATATGAACAACTGCAGGGAACACCAATGGGATCTCCAATTTCCGGAATCGTAGCCGAAGCCGTGATGCAAAAGCTAGAGAAGGAGGTACTACCAAGTTTCTGGCCAAANAATACGTTGATGACACATTCGTCGTCTTGAAGAAGTCGGAACTGGAAAGAACACACAACATCATCAATAACACATTCAACGGCATCAAGTTCACAATGGAGACGGAGAAGGATAAACAACTGGCCTTTTTGGACATTTTGATCATCAGAACGCCATCGGGAAACCGGAGACAAGGGTCTACCGCAAAGCAACGCATACGGCTCAAATTTTCAACTTCAAAAGTAATCATCCACACAGCCACAAAAGATGCTGTGTTAGAACCTTGTTCGGAACAATTCGAACACACTGCAGCACCGACATACTCAAGAAGAAAGAAGAAAGATATCTCCTCAGAGTATTTGCTCGCAACGGTTACACCCTCAACTTCATTAAAAGAACTTTAATCCAAAGAAAAAGAGAGAAACAACAGACGGAGAATCGAGAACAAGAACTACCCTGCCGTACATCAAGGACGTTTCGGAAATGACGGCAAGACTGCTCAGATCATACGGAATCCAAGTCGCCCACAGACCTACCGCCTGTCTCAGGAGACTTCTGTCAAAACCAAAGGAGAAAACAATGTAGAAGGACAAAAGCAGTGTTACAAAAGGAATTGCAAGAACTGCTCAGAACACTATATCGGACAAACTGGAAGTAAACTGTCCACAAGGATCCGTGAACACCAAACGGCAGTCAGGAGACATGACCCACTACCTTTGATTTCCCTTCACGAAGATCAAGAAGGGCATCAGTTTGACTTCGCTTTAGTGAAGAGTATCGACGAAGCCCGATCAAAATACGCCAGAGAATTTCTCGAAGCTTGGCTCTCCTCAATCAACAGGCACACTGAACTGGATCACGTGTACACGCCAATGAAACTCAAGGATCAAATTACGCAATCAAAAATGGTCACGGTGTAACCTGAGAACGGACCAAAACCGCAATCAGGACGGATGGACAACCACCTCCCCTACCAACCTCGCCCCCACGCACCAGTTTAACGGCGAACCCAGTCGAACATAATGAGAACAAGGGACAACAATGGTCGGTGGAGAACACATGTATAAACGAACGGACACAAACAAGACTTCCACTTCACAAGCACTGATGATGTCACCTCGGCTGGTGATAATACGTTTGCAAATAAATTGCCAAGCTCGGTGAACAGGAGAAATAGATTGCAGTCAGTAGTTATTCTTTCAGATTCATCACTTGGCCTTTGGTGGTCTTGTTACCTACTACTCACAATTGAGTAGTATCTCACAATATCGGTAGCAATATGTGGCCTGCTTTATCCGTACTAAGAATCAACGCGCATTTAGGAGGCGAAACGCTTGTCTCTTTAGCTGTATATCTCTAGGCAACGAACTCGTCGGATAGCTGCATCGGTAATCTAAGGCGACATAAATTGTTCGCCAAATAATTCACCCGTAACACTGTGGGTAAAACAGCACTGAATACTCTTTTCAGCCGTGCTACCTTTGAAACTTCTGGTGGTCACACGTCCAGTTTCTCCTTCACGATGGTCTTTCATTTCGTGAAAGATTCATATAGCTGCCTCTGATTGGCTTCTATTTCAAAAAAAAGATGATGGATTGGATTTGTGCTATTGGAATTGTAGGTTTGTTCACATCTGAGCGTAAACATATCATTAAATATTTCAACCCTCTGCTTATTCAGTCACCGACGAGTACTCCCTGTTGCATCCCCACCTGTGTCCATCGACTTTTCCTTTCTCATGTTTGCCAGTGTACACATTTTCATTCACTCGGTAGACGAGAAAACCAGCATAAATTTGTCTTCTGCTTCTAATATAGTTTAGTCATGTCACGTAGGTAATATCGTTCAAAAACAGGGCCCATTTGTGATGCATATAAAAATCTTCATGAATCATACATTTAATGTTTGTAAACAATGCACATAGAAAATGTCAAATGAAGTATTTTCAGAATATAATAGCAAACAAGTGATTATCACAAGGTGAGAGGTGTGTATGCAGAACGACGAGGTCCGGTGAGTGCGACTGACACACAAAACGAAATCTGTACAGAACTATTTACCTCCGGGTTAAGGATGTCGACACCGAGCAAAACGTCTGCATTCACAAGGATTGGTAAAGTGGAGAATCACTTCGCGTAAGCCACGATTAAACAAAGCATACGCAATCGGATTGAGAGCGACATTTGTGTACCCATTCCATACCAACAATCGTTGCACAAACATGCTTGTTCCGGTATTGGTGTAACTTAATCGGGCTGTGAAAGCAGCGCTCAGATAGGCAATCGTGTGTGGGATCCATGCAATGCCGAGTAACGTGATCAACAAGACCACCAACCGAATGGCTCTCTGTTCCCGCAACATACGTCGATCCAACATGTTCGATATTTGNATATTTGAATATAATTTTTTTCTTTGCCTGTTGGCATCGCGGAAATCTGCGAACCAGTGTCTGACAGATACTCAACCGTGTGACTTGGTACTTTGGGACAGGTCGCTAGACGGACCAGAATAGGCTTGTTGAAATGGATTTCTTTGTGTGCGCACTCTGTGGGCCACAAACCACTAAACGTTTCGACCGTGGGAATTGTACTGTGCACTTGCACTTGATGCTTTGGCAAACGTTTTCCGGGTCGTATGACCGGATCTATGTCGGTGAATGCGCTACGCAATTGCATACTAGAACTGCGTCTAAGACGTCGTATTTCCATGTGACGTTTCTTGTGTGAGGCCCATCTGATTTCCATTTTTCGACGTTGTTTACGCATAAGCACAAGCATACGACCGTACAGTCCNTACAGTCCAACCATGAGTAATAACGGTAGTAGGAAAGAACCAAACACCACATAGGTGGCGTAGAACGGTTCGATTCGGAAAACGATTTTGGAATGCAAAGCTTGACTTGCAAACTCTCGTAAGCGTCGAATTTTCACAGATGTCATCAAAAACGAGGGGGACCAGACTGCGAAAGAGACTGTCCAGATTAGGGCGTAATAAGCCAAAGTACGTCGCATTTTCCGTTTGACTCCAATCAGATACCACTTGGGATGCGCAATTGCCGTGTATCGATCGATTGCAATGGATGTCGTGGACCAGACAGATGCAGTATACACCAAACGATTCCCATTCAACCAAATCACACCGACTTCAATGGAGAAGGGCCAAAACCCAAGAACATCTTTGCAAGCGGATAGGGTCATAAAAAAGAGCCCGATAAAAAAATCGATAGCAGCCTGATGACCAATCAACAGATTTGAGGGGGTGCGGAGTGCAGGTTTAGTTAACAGAGCGTAGGCGACTAATCCGTTACTTCCCAACGTCCAAGTAATTAGCACACTGAGTGGGACAATCTTCCACACAGCTGATCCGGCATCTGAATGCGAGGCTAAAATCACATTGAACTCAGCGGACACATCACCGACAACCAACACGGAAGTGCTTTCATCGGTATGATTCATTACAACTCAGGTTATTGATCGGTTGACTACTAGCATAACTGACTGAAAAACAAGAAAAATGAATTAGGTTGTTAGTTCCACACTATGCTGCACAGGCGGTAAAGAAAAATTTATTTGTGTAAACCGTGGAAATTAGTAACGCACACTATCAAAATACATCGCTGATTTCGTCGTACATTTTTTCTGATTGAATTGGAAAAGTGTACGAAGTGGAGCTGTTGTAAATTCAAAGGTTAGGACATTTCACATTTTTATTGTGTTACACTTATGTTAAATTTGGTAAATTGAAAAAATGATCGCATCTTCTTCATGGTGATAGAAATGGTAAAAATTATTCTAAGATGCAAATCGCATGAAAAGCTTGCGTTTTACCTGGTCGAGCTGCTGTAACTGAGTTATCTTAGTCGCAATCAGAAGGTGATGCATGACATTGTTTTTCTACATGACAAACTTCGTGGGGCATCTTACTGTTAAATAATTACAACTAATGGCAAACCATTGGAGTTGTCATCCCGGATCATTTGTTCCATTTGCTTTTAATAAATCAAACCACTGAAATGACTGTTGATGCTATTTTCACCGACCGCTAACTTCGTTGGTTCGTTAAGTTGGTTTGACAGAGTACACATCAAAGTCATTCTTTCCCGCGGACCCGGTTTGGTAGACTTTATGTAACAAGAACGGACCTACTTTAACCATGCTGTCCATCTCACTGGAAGAATATCCTCGTGTTATCCTTGGGATGCGTATTACTCAGTCTTGCTCACTAAAGTTAACCACACTTGCCGCTTCTTCACTATGCTTACCTCGGGAATGTCGTAAAGGTTTGTAAACCGCCCTAATTTGTTTGCGAACCTTTCATCACTAGCTGAGGTAACATCCTCACTCTGCTTTATTTGATGGGGATTACTTATGTCTATTAAATTGAATAGTTTTTCCTTAGCTAATTCTGATCAAATATGATCAATCCATTTAGCCGTTGAACCAGCACGAGAAATTCAATTATTATTATTATTATTATATTATTCAATTATTCAACCGTTTTGGGTAGGGCCTATTGGTCCGTTGATGCGTCGCGAAGTAACCACTGGTTTATTGCAACATTCGATCCCAGAGTCACTTTGGAATAAATTTCTGATTTAGTTTGATGTTAGCACTCACTGAGTTGTGTAAAACATGTCTGGTTTATTTAGACCGGGCTTGATAACTTTTTCTCGGATGAGATTTGAGTTTTCACTCATCTTGATGGAATGAAATTACCATGCATGAATCATATTACCTAGAGGAGAACAAATGTTTATGAACCCTCGTTGATCACATGCTCCCATTTGTGCAATCTAATACTTCAGATATTTGTTGCATTTCAATGTTTAGACAACAAATATTTTGTATTTTGTCTTGGTTTCAAAAGAATTCTTCTCAAGTGGGCAATAAATTTCTCAAGGCCCTCCATGCATGATGAATGTTTCTGGATTGATCATTAGTTGGTCGTTTGTTTCCGTCCTTGTAGCAGTTGCGAGGACCTACTCTGAAAGGTTATCCTCACTGCTTATTGTCGAGTGTTTTTTGAGTACGGCTTGACGTGTTCTGGATATGGTTAGGTGTACGTTAAAGTTGACGGAGAATTCATCACACACAATCTTATTGGTCTTCTGTCATTATTCTTTGAGTTCACGTTCAAGAATACTTATCTATTGGAGCAAATTGACGCTTCTTGCATACAAAGCATTCTTAAACCGAGCCTTCAGATGAATACCAACGTGCCAGCGTGTACAATTCGCGGTCTGATTTGGGGGAAAGGAATGAATATAAAAAAACAAATTTGGGCAAGACACATTTTAAAAGTCATAAGTATGTGCGGATATCTTGGACTCAATCAGACTGAGAAACTGCGTTGGTGCTGCCCATAAATGGTAACTGGTCATTAAGGCAAGAGCACGTTTATGAAACCATATAATTAAAAGTTATATAAGGAGAGAAAGGAATCATGCATCCGACACGGTGTAGCCACTTTATTACATTTTATCGTGCGAGAAATTCAGACAAAAAACTGACGTAGATTGTAAGTTGAGAAACCGGAGTTCTTTTCACCGAGAATTTAAAGATGAGCAGTAGCAATGGTGGTATTGAGGATAAGTATTTAGAATGTGCAGAACGGTCAGACCACATGATGGTCAGAAATCTAAAGTGACGTTATCAGAAATGCGAAAGCGGGTGATGTATCATAAGTCCTTCTTGTATACGAAGAGCTCAATAATTAATTCTTTTAGCAATCTCAAGAAACACTGTTTAAGGTCTAATCATATTATGGTATAAAAACGCCTAATGCGATCATGCGAAATGGTTGACTACAGTTTGCTGGGTGGGTGCAGTGGTTTAGTCGCTGTCACTGGCCTGCTTTTGACCCTATGGTTCGAGGTTCGAGCCCGGCCACCCCCTTCCACCTTTGGTGGTAGGTAGCTTTGCTGTCGTCCGGTTCAGTACAACGCCTAACCTAGAGGGGCCTAATGTGGTTAGCGACTCCATGTCCCGGGGCTTAGGTTGCCGGTTTCCACGACGGAGCAGCAGGTCTTCCTGACTATGGGGTTCGTCCCGTCTGCTGTTCACTACAGAAATGTGTGCAATATAAAATACGACTTATTGATTCGTGGCGTTTGTTCATAATTGGAACTCGTGTATTAAAATTGTTGGTAGTGTGGTGTTCTACCACTCTGAGCAACCCGGTTTTCGGTTCCACATGCAGCACTGAGTTCAAGCTGGTATTGAAGAGTAGGGTAATATAACGGTGCTTAACCAAATGCCTGGCATGATTTAGCACCACAGACATAGAGATTCATGGGAAAAGGTTTAATGCAAAATTGTAGGTGCTATTTTACCCCTTTAAAGGACAGAAAATCCCGGTTGTATCCAGCATTGATCTCACGCAAGGTGCAAGTTAGCAGCAAATGAGTGGCTTTGTTTCAACCCACCGTCAACCCCTTCTTAAAACAAAGTTGTACCGCTATACGCCACACAGCACCATCCTCAATAAATGTGCATGGAATATGCGATAAACAAGAACTTAATCAGCATCAAAATGATTGATCTGTTTCGTTTGTGATCCCTGAACTGACGGTTCTCACAGCGTTAGAAATAACTTTTTCACAGGTCAGGCTGGTCAAGCCATTTGAAGACAATGTAAACTCCATTAGCACTGAAAGATAAAACATTCCTCATCTAAGAGGATGCGTGGGACAAAAGAGTCTGAATGAAAACCAAAGCAACCGGGATGGAAACCCGTGCAACAAGAGCAAATAATGTGTCAAAATGGAAAAATCGATTGATACTTGGGTTCATCACATCATGATAACGGTAGTGAATAATGAGTTTCATTGAAACAACGTCAACTACTGATAGTTGATATTATTCTAGCGTTTTATGTATTCAGTTATTCACTTGCATCCATTCAGTACTTAACAAAGTTCAGTTCAGCATTTTGAAGGTATTGCTCAAATATCACACCCCTATAGAACATTATTACCTGAGTAAATCCGTCAACCCAGTTGCTAATCAAACTAGGCAAAACGCAATTGTACGACGCGTCTGATTACCACGTTGTTGATTGCGTACAAATAATGACCCATATTTAGTACAAATCAAAAATGATAATAAAATATGTCTGTTCCGCATATCCCTTGTAGTTTCCACTCCCATCCCTTCCGTACACTGTATCAACTGATTACAAGAATAAAATAGGCACACGAAAGGAATCAAAGGAATCGTTTGTCTTAGCAGAACTACAATAATCCACCTAAAACCTATTGACAGAAAAACACGAGTAGCGAACAAGCTCGTTTTCGATAACTTTATCCTCTGACTAATACAGCTATACAGATTTAGTGAACAAACGTGAAAGAAATAATGTCAGAATGAAAATGCTTTGATTACGTGGTATGGAAGTGATGAGGAGTGGTTGAGAAAGGCGTGAAAACAAAAATTTTTAGTCCGTGGTTTAGAATAGGGAATCGTGAAAACCGACAAAGGAGAGGGAGGGCAAGAGGGATAAACCAGGAAGTGCGAGGTCACACACCCTTAGGTCAACGGGTCATGAGAAGAGTCATGGGTGAATTGACGTTCAGTGTCGGGTCTGGGCCAGGGTGGCTGCTGTAGGGCTTTAACAAATTGCTTTTGTTGGTCGCAATAACCTTATTGCTACCGCCTCTGCTGTCGCAAGATGGCGCTGTCGGAGGGTTTTGGAGGGGTTGGGGGTACCTTGTGGATAATTTTGAACGCATCCTCAGTCATCTGACGTCTGGTATCTACGAGGTGCTCCGTAATTGCACTCAAAACGGTCCCTGTGGTTCCTACGTTTAACGTGCTTCTTGATTCTTTGAGAAAACTGCCTGATCGTCCTGCCAATGTAGCTCGCCGAACATGAGCAAACGAAAGAATAGTTCAACATGAAGAAAGTGAGGATAGACAATTTATCTTTGAGATTCAATGACAAAAAAGATCGGCTGATGAATTGTGTACGTAACCGAGCCGCAGGAAACGTTCGAGCAATCGACTTATCTAGACGTCTTGTTAACAAAAATTGCATTTGTAGTCACCTTTGAACGTAAGACATATATAGATTTGCTTTTGGCTTACTGTTTTTGGCTTTTTCACATAGATTCTTTTCAATAAATCTCTCGGAATAGCCATTGTCCAAGATCGCTTGCCTGAGCCGGTTCACTTCTAACCCCAGGTTTTCTGCTGAACGTATATTTCTGACGCGAGCAGCTAGGGGTTGGACGAGGTTTCGCTTACGCCCCAAAGGTAGGAAACTGGCGAAACAAGTTTACTGACCTGTCCATGTGGGTTTTCTGTAGACTGCTCTACTCATTGTTCCGTCCAAGCGCTTGGTAAGATGAACATCTAGAAAATGGAATGTGTTGGCCTTTTCCTTTTCCGACGTAAAATTGAGCGCGTTGTGAGCTCGGTTAAACGTGCTGGTCAGTGTTTGCAACGGTATATTCTTA